CATAACAGGTGCGTTACCCTAGCACCACAACCTGAACTATTTTCTTCGAAATTGGTACTCCAGCACCCGTTTTGGAAAACGATTTTTCTGATATACGGGTCTTAGATTACGACACCCAAATGTGTGATTACTGATTACGAATGGGTATAAGCTGTGATGGAGTCAGAGTAAGGCATCTCCGGTCAAAGTCTCGCCATTTGCCGATCGCATTATTGAAGATAGAGCGTATGTATTAATAATTATATATCAATATATATGTGTGATTATTAAGGTTTGAAACTTTCATAAAATATTTAATTTTGATAAAAAATAAAATTCTAATTTAAAACTATGGTACGAATTACAGTAAACACCTTTACTATATTACCTACTTAAATGTTAAGTGAAAAATGTTATAGAAATATTGCGTACATCGTACATTATATTATTATAAGTTCCATAATAATTATCTTATATATAATGCATTACCTTCTCTACACTGTGATCGGGAATTACCTAAATATTAATAATCACTAATCAGGTACCTAAAAAATCAGTCTGACCATCTAGTGATGATCTTATAACCAAAAAACACAAAATTAAATGTTTTTTAATACTTTACTAAACATTTTTTCTATAATTGTGAAAGATTCAACTTTGAAATATTTCAAAGTGAAAATTGCACGTGAAATAATTCATACTCATGACCCAGTTGTGATTATGATTATCTGTATGTAATATAGAAAAATGTAATATCGTATATTCGTTTATTATAAATTATAACATAGTGAAACCGAAGCCAACCTACTGCGGGTAGCAATTATGATATGTCATATGGTATGTTTGAATCCCGATTGATATTTAAAAAAAAAAATGTATTTATTATTTCGATTGTCAGTTTGTTTATAAGTACCGCCTTTGCGCCAAACGTATCCGGCTTTGTCATGAACCGTATACTACTACTGCAGTGTTGAGATTTATAATGTCCACCCACCCGGTTAACAGAAAAAACAATACTCCGTCGATATAATTTTGTTTAAAAACGACAATATCATAATTTTCGGTTGTTTGTCATTGTGCTAACTATGTATAATCTGTATAATATCATGACAGTTTTCACGGCAGTGCAATTCTAGTACCAGTATTAATTTAACTTAACTGGCCTTCCACCGAGTTATTGAGTTTCGGAAATAATTAATACCACTGTATGTATAATAGGTACATACAAAAAAATATGCAAACTATATTTTAAAACTATTTGACGTCCCACCTATGTCAACAGCTAGGTCTTCGTTTTCAAACTTTTATGAAAATATACAGTTGCGATTGGCCATACTACCCGTATAGTATTAATATTAACAATGTTAGTTAAATTTATCTTTAATACAAATGTAATAATATAATATCATATTTTTTTTTAATTTATTGGAATGTGTAAGTCAAAAATAACCGTCTTTAATAACATTAAGTTATAATGTCTACAATAATATGAAGAAAAAAAAAAGATTATACACTATATGAAACTTGAGGAGAGTAGCTATCCTGCAGTAGTAACAGTAACACTCTGGCTCGATAAATTATATAATGATATGGACATAAAAAATACTGACTTTGTCACATTTAGAACACATCTTGAATACAAGCTCACCCTTGGCAGATGGTTTATCAAGCGTCTTGCAATGTCAGTCATAATCAGTTGATTCCTTTTATTATCTGTTATTTTTTAACGCCGTTGTGCACAAGACGTACAATATATTGTATTGGTATAGTGATGCACCCACTGAAATACTCTTCGAAGTATTATATTTGAATTAAATCATAATATCATACAAATTACAATATACAATAATTATACATACATTTAATTGTTTGATTTTGTTTTTAAATTTTTTTTCTGAGCTATGTTTGATTTTAGCAATAATTATTAATGTTTAGTGAGTTATCTATACGAAATTCTCTGTTTTGTAAAAGTTGGTAGGTTAATTATAATTTTGTTACAATAGTACAAGGTTTATTTTTTTTGAATATTTACCAGTGATCTTGTTATACCCGTCTACAGTCCCGGCGATAAACCAATGGAGGGGAGAATAATAATGGTTTATTCACGAAAAAGTTGAAACAAAAAAAAAAAACTATCGTAAATCCGCCACTGTTTTCCTCGCTCACTATATTATTTTATGATCCATACCTATGTGTCTATGTATATAATGCTCATGTTTTTACATGAGACAAAACTATATATTATATACATTTACCTACCGTTCATCGATTTTTTTATTATATTATGTCGTACAAATAAGGTATACATGGTGTAATATAAATTATATTATTTGAACAAAGGTGTATTTATTAGTGATCAATAAAATAAATAAATTATATTTAAAATATAAAATAATTTTTAAAAAAAATGACAGCAGCATTGTCATCAAATAACTTTTTTAAAAAGTTTGAAGCAGTATGTATATTATTTCTGTAAGGCATAAAAACATGGCACGATATAATTACAGAACCTACAGTTTATCTTATGACAGATACGGTAAGCACAGCAAGAGAACGTGATTACCTCGGTTGCTTAACGGTTGGGTCCCAAATATAAATAGGAAAAAAGGTGTAATACTAATTACGTCGCAACTACCAAAATGTGTTATTTCTGAAAAAATAATATATTCTTATAATAGACGCTTGATATATTATTATACTGTTGTTGCAGGTACTTCTTGCATCAGAATTTAATTTAATTTTTTTTTTAGTATTATATCGTTATGAATTTAAAGATTCAATTTTTGTAAACGTAATTTCAATTCCAAAATAACACAATCGCCCACGTCCAGGAATCAAACTAATGCAAAGTCGAATACTCAAATAATATTGATCAAGAAAAATATAGTAAAATCGTTACGTTCACAGAACAATAATGGTTTTAGAGAGACAAATATAATAATAGGCAAACATATAAAATAAAATTCGTTAACAGTGTCTTGAGCAATTTATATGTAAAGAGCACTGGTGTGGTATGTGATTCGCCGAAAACGCATTAAAAATTGTTTTTTCAAATTGTTTAAGTTTACTTTATTAATTATTATTAAATGTTGCATTGTATGAGTTACATAGAATACTCACGAAAATGTAATTAAAAAAGGTTGTTACTCAAAATTATGATTAATATATGACCTAATAATTAATCACGCACAAAATGGGACTCAATAACGACTAACGAGTAGAATATCTAGTCCGTATATATCACATGAGGATTTTTGGTCGATCATTATCAACACAACAACGTATTAATCGCTTGAGAATGAGAGTTAATTGATATTAATATTCAGGTCCGAATTGGGCCGTTCGTGATAGTGTTCGTCTGTAATAATATTAATATTATGTGTGTAATGTGTATGACAATGAGAAATCAGGACAAATATAAGTAGAAAAAATAATTGAATCGATTTATTAAACAGTACAGTACAGCTGTAATCGAACAGGGTGCTCTACTTTGTTGAAAATAATGAAAAATTAAAAATATTTAGTCGGAACGTCTATTCTCGGAATATATTTTCACAGAATCATATTTATTTGGAATGGTATTTAGTTGAAAAATATTTCATCGGAATGTATATTCCTGGAATGTATTTGAAGACCTGAGAGCAACGACAAGACATCTCCAATTAATACAATTTTATAATATAATATCTCCGTATTAAACAATCGGAGTTGTCGGGATTTTTGCACTTTAAGACTCAGTTTTTTTTTTGCTATTTATAATGTGCTATCAAATACTAATTAACTAATGGCCGTTGCTGCCGAGATGTAATACCAGGTCAATGAAAAAAAAACTTATTTCGACCAAATTATGGAGTTGTCTTGTGTAGCTATCGTGTCTTCTTCGTCTGGTACCCTTATAAATCGTATTTGGTTAGGTGGGCCAATACCAAACCTATTAGCGATGGGCATAATTTTGTGGTATATGCTCGATAACAATTGTGTTTCATATTTAGTACATAATCATATCTACGGCGGATCTTAAGTCAATCATTAACAACACAATAACTTAGTCGCGCGAAGATGAGAGTTGACATAAATTATTATAAATTTCGTCGTGTATCCAATACACCGATTTCACAATATTATTTAATATCTAATCGACATGTCATTTATCGAAAAGCGGGTTTTCGTTCAGGTACGACGCCATTACCAAACTTCCTTTAAAGTTTAAATCGCATTTTTTAATTTAACCGTAACAACTAACAGTATATACAATGTAATATGTAAACTGTAATATGTATACGTAATGTATTGATGCACTAGCAGCTCGTTTAAATCAAACAATACCTTTACCTATCTACCTATTGCCGTAAAATAATAAATAATAATAATAATAAAAAATAATAGGTTAAGTAGATCACAAGAACATTATGATGGTATGGGTCGTTTGGTACGGCGCACCAACACGAAAACTTATTTTTAAATCCAAATCATACTTCAAATGTAACAGTATATAGTGGTACACTATAAAACACTGCTTGCTCATTTAAATCGCAAGACAGTTTACATGTCTACACTCAACCGCCGTTTAATATAATCACGTGTTTTACAACAAAAAACGGCCCGCGACTTCAAAACCAAGTCCGACCACCGAATCAAATTCTGACTCTACCGCCGTCACGATTGCCGTGGTTTTCAAAAAAAAAAAAAATGCCCAAAAAAAAGGTAGTCCGGTAAGACCCCCCATTTCCAAAACGCAATCGATTATCAATAGTTTTTTCTCGCCAAAAACGATATCCCGGCACTACACTCGACCCACGACGACGGGCAGCCGGAGCTCTGGTATACCCGATTCGTGGTCAGGACCACGGTACATTATAATTGCAATAATATCGTAATAACAACGCCGTGCGCCCGACCGGCATACGCGTAGGCGAAAACAGCATCCATCGGCGGCCGTCAGAGAGAGCTAACGTACACGATCGCCGCCGCCGCCGCCGCCGCCGCCGTCGTCGGTTGGGCACTTGGGCCGCACTCGTTCTATACTCGTTGGATCGTCTCCGCGACAGGCCGCCCCCCGCTCGGAGCACTGTACACACGCCGTTTTCAGTATTGCCGCGAAATACATTGCACCAAGTCGCTTTCCGCCCGTCGACGCCGCTCCACCAGGCGCACGTGTTTTTCAACTGCAACGGAAATAACGATAATAACGATAATATTATTATTAACGCGCCGTCGTCGCGGGTATTGTCCGTCAACACGTCTGTCGTCGACAATATTATATAATATCACCGTCGATAATATCGTTGTTGTTGTTGTTGTTGTTTTCGTACACGCCGACCACCCCGTCTCTGAAAATGGAAAACGTCCTTGTCGGCTGCAAAGACGTATTATCGGTGTAGTACGTTGCGTGTGCTGTACACGATAATAATAATATTGTAGTGTCATCGGCTGCTCCATGACATAGACGTACATTTCGGTGTATTGTAATAATATTGTTGCGTACAGCGATTGAAATTCAAAATTTGAAAACGGACGAAAAAGGACCGATTTCGCTACTGACGCCGTAGTGCTGCGTCGCCGCACAGACGATTCCGTGAGTTATTCCCTCTTCGCGTGTCCCCCGCGTCTTTCCCCGATCGTGACATTTTTCAAAACTTCTAGTTTTTTTTTTTTTTTAATTTTTTTGTTCCTAGTTTTTATTTTTGTTTTCTTCGAACTTAAACGTTTTCCGTTTCTGTTTGATGTTCACACCGCGTACGCCCGCCGCTGCCTTCCGTAGAAACATTGCCGCCAAAGACCCGTAAACGCCGCCGCTCGCGCGTGTGCACAATATCACTTCTACTTCCTCCGATTCACCATAACAATATTGTACTTGCTGTGCAAAACCCAAACACCGAGACCGAGAAAACACGTCACACCATTCGGTACCTGATTTATGTATGGTAAAGCATTACCGCAAGCACCAGTCGAAGAAAAGATCTAAAACCGTCCAACGAGTCGTCCGCGCCGAGATGGATCAACCGGCCGCCGCTGAGTTGCAGACGATGTGGAAATCCCGAAAACTTTGGACATCCATCCTGCTGTTCGTGTTGCTGTTCATCACACCAGGTAAACGAAATACCATGATAATAATAATATTATTATTACTCATATATTATAGTTGTCATGACGTTATTACTATTATCGTTGTTATATTTAGAATTAAGAAATACAAATTTCACTTAACACGTTCTCATCCGTTTGTCTTTACCAATCAAAAAAAAAAAAAAAAAACATGGACCGAAAGTAAATTAATTAATTGTGGTTCGGCTATGTTTTTGTCATAGTTGACACAATTAAATTAATTAATGTAATTATTTTATTCATGATTAACTATAATAACATTTAATTACTGTATTTTTTTCCTATTCTTTCGGGTTTCATAATATTATTTTCGATACGTACGTTTACTTTCGTGGACAATACGAATATAATAATATAGAGAAAGGTAAAAACTAAACCAGCTTTATAATTAGGCACACAAATATTTATAAAGCGGTTTGCGTTGAAATGACGAGGAGGGATTTCAAATTTTAATTCGCTGAATTTTAATCTTTAATCAAGATTATTGCTAAAAACCAAAAAGAGTTAATTTTAATAATAAAATTATTAAATAACACGAAATATTCTGTATTATATCGTATATTTGCTATTATCTAGGTATTATTCAAAATTATTATTTTGCATAGCTATGTTTTCCATGTGTCTTACTTTATTTTGTATATTATGAATCATACACATTTTTAAAGTTCCAAAAATATTTTATTCTAAACGAATTCCGGTACCAATTCAAAATTTCAATAAATAAAATAAAGTTTAAAATTATTATTTCACGAGGATCCAAACTAAGAAATGAATAAATTTATTTTCAAATAATAAAAAATACATTTTAGATAGGTATTACAATATAATAGGTACGTAATACATATTATTAATATTATTTTTAAGACACAGAAATAAGGCTCGATAGTAATTTTCCTAATCTTGACTCACAAATAAAAGCAAAAGCTAATATTGTACGAGATTATTTTTTTAGTTTACGTAATTCATGAAAATAATTGTCTTCGATGTAAAAGTATCGAACGTTAAAAAAAAGTTTGAAACATAAACAGTTTGAGAATAGTCGTTTTAAGAAAAATGATCACGAAAGTTAATGGTTCAAACGCACATTCAAGCAATACCATTACATTATTTACAAACTTTTTACGTACAGCCGTTGAAATAACGACATCATTAATGGCATATACTCTCGATTTTGAAGAAATTTAAAAACCCTTTTTTATTTATAAAAAAAAAATATATTTATTACACCATATCTGTATTTTAAGTGTATATTTTATTGCACAACAACGATGATAACTTACTATTCTATGGTATCTGTGGGAAAATGTATGTAAAATACTTAAATACAAAGATTTGATATTTATTTATCGCTTTAACTACTTGACAACCATAAAACGTAATGATTGAAATGTAATAGAGACCAATACCTAGGCAATAGGCATAATAAAAATAAAAATTACGAAAACAGAATTTTGTAGGGTGCTACCAGAAACATTGTTTTAGCATTTTTTAACTAAAAATGTTTATTTTACATTTCACAAAGGTTTCTATGTAGGTGGGTTGAATTGCTCTGCGGGAAGGGCTCAGCTTACATCCCTCTACACTGGAGCACCTACGATAGAAACCAATGTTGAGTTTTAAATTATATCAGTGTGAAAACTTTAAATTGTATTTTCAATTTACTTAAACTTTATCACGGGTCAATGCATTTTTAAATAACACACAATTCATATTTATGTTTTGATTGTAACCTTTACATAATATTATACTCTTTACTCTGAGTCTTACATTGAGTCAGCGTTGTGTGTAGTTTCATGAGATTTTTCAAAAAACACTTCGGTCAGTAAATGGCTTTAACACGAACTGAAAGAAAATTCAATAATTTCTTACTGCAGTGTTGAACTAAGTATTTATCAAGATAAAGATGAAAAAAATATAAAATTATAAATCAAACCGAAACTGGAGAAACCAAAATACAAAGCTAAACTAAGCAGCTCTATCTCGTTTCAAATTATGAAGAATTTGATTGTAATTTATTACTGCGTCAGTGGAATGGGTATTAATTATAATTTATAAATAATTATTAAAAATTGAAAATTAGTATATTTATAATAAACTGTACATTTTAAATATATTTTACGTGCTTACACACTATCTTAGAAGTTTATTACATACTTAACTATAATTTACTTATATATACGCCATACGGAATCTATTAATATATAAAATATTCAGTAACGTTTATAATATAACTTTATAGGTACCTAATACTTATATCGTTTCGAGAAATCAATGCCATTTACATATTATTATATTTAGGAATAATTTAACATAAAATATTGATACATCAAGAATATCATTGAAGGGTACTTGTGTGCATATATGGCTTATTGTCTACGCACAACATAACATCGTAAGTCACATAAGTCAACCTATTACGACTGGTATAACCCATATAGGAATTATAAGAAATTGGTAATTACATAAATAAATGATACGGAAAATTATTATTGCTTTAAATTTTCTATTTCATTCTTTTTCTGTACCTCGTAGAATGGCCACTCGCGAAACGCGTGGGTGGAAACCCTTAAACTAAGTATAAAAATAACGTAATTCATCTTGTATAATACATCGATTAATCAATTGTATATATTATCTAGATAATTTATTCAGATATTTTTTATCGACACTGTTTCTGAGTAGTATTCTAGAAATATCTAAATATTGTCAACGATATGCACAATCGAATAAATATTGTTAATTGATGGATAAGCCAATTTCCATTCATAATCGTGTACCGAACGCAATTATTACATGCAAAATTATGTAGAACCAAACTAACAATATTAATTTTTACCATTGAAATACAATTCTAAGACATTAAATAATTAAAATTCACTATTTTAATTTTAATTTTAAAATACATTCAGTTAGAACATTTGGAATCACAGAAAGTTACAAAATTAAAATATTGTCGACTTAATTTGAAAATCGATGTACTGTTTATTTTTTTCTTGAAAAGTAGATATTGATTTTATACCGATAAAATATGAGTTATTTTTTTGTTACCCGCTTGTGCTTTATTGATCAGCTTAATTTTTTTTGGGTAGAAACTTACTTCGAAAATGATATGTAAAGTTATCAATTTATTGGGAATCAAAAACATAAAGCAACTCTTAGAAATTAAAATAAATTTTACATTACAGTTTTCCATATTAACTGAAATTCACGGTACGTTCAATTTTATAAAAATGATTTGTATTCTATTTTTGCTAAGACAACAATATTATAATTAAATCTAAAATTACTTTACGTCATGATGACCAATGATAAGAGCATTTAATACTTAAATACTAATGCATGTATATTTAAATTAACTCAATTAAATTAAAATGTATTAAAAAAAATGTTTATCTTGACTTACTAGTCACTTATTTAAAACTTCAATAATAATAAGATGGTACATCGTTTAATATGTATTTATTTTTTAATTAAAATTAGCAAACACAAGGAACTTAAGATTTAATACAATACTATTCAACCCAGAATCCTGACATCTATTAAAAAATAACAAAAGTCATTGATAAGTTTGAATTTCAGTGAATTATTTTATTTCCTCGAATAATAACAATGTACATTGTGTTATATACTATAGGTTCGTAACGTAACTTAATTATTATTATTTATTTTCAATTTTATACTTCTTCTTTAAAACTTATTATTTTGTATTGAATGCTTACTTATACACATTGTAAAGCGATGTTAATTTTTTGTATCATTTAAGTACATTGAAATGTATGTGCTTTTAGATTCGTTTTAACATTGTTAACTGTTTCATAATTTAGATTTTAATTAATGCTATAATTTGATATTTTAATACGAGTGTGCTTATAACGTTGCAACATGACAACAAACATTTTAAACTAAACCAAACTCGAATTACTGTTGACTATACAACCAACCTGCATACTTCAACTAGAATATTTATTTTAATTTGGGGCCAACAATTGCATTTATATCTATAACAAATTATACGACACTATTTGCCAGTATTGAGAAAATAAACAAAACTGGCCAAAACTCGGTTTGTGTAATATTCTAGTTACTTAATGATTTAGGTACTTTAACTTTTCAAACCGTTATGAGCTATTCAATTTTTTGTTTATCGATTTCAAATAACTTTAAATTATGTCAATTAATGATGTTCTTGTAAAAAATAATAGAGTTGATCATTTTATATTATTGTTGTTCGAGATAGCTATATGTTTAGAATATTATGCATTTTTGATTCCGGCTAAAAGTAAAATTTTATTAAACGGTAATAATATACAAACTGTTAATGTTGTATACAATCCATGAATTATTTATTTTTCTTTCTGTCGGTGAAACACCTACAGTAAATATTTAAAGCACCTATTTTAGAGTAAATATTTAATGAACCAATATCGGTTATATTTTCTAATAACACAATATAATATTATGTTATATACGAGTGTTATAATAAAATATGTATGTATTGTTCTAGTTCGAAATAATGTAATATAGTATATTATCTATTATATTACTGTATTGTTTATTTGTATTATAGGTAGCTATACTGTGTGACTTTGCTAAATTGTTTTTAACCACATTTTTATTATTATAACAGTATATTACGCGTATATATTATCGTGCAATATTATAATAATAAGTTCCCTGAACATCGATTAGCCAATTTAAAACTCGTCTCGTTTGACGCTACTTTATTGGGGATAGATGACACGATTTAATCACTTCAGCAGCATAATAATATCATTATATTATATACTGGATAGAGTTCAATTAGACAGGCATTATAGGTTGATTGGTATTTTTGTTCTTCAGTTGTGTAACTTATCACGTACGACCAAGACGAAAAGGTGAAAAAAATTATGATCAATCTTTGAGGTGTTGAAATCCCGACTAAAGTTGTAGTTATATCGTAGTCGTGTTTGTGTGTGTTAAAGTATTGTTAAATACATGCGTAG